TTGACCTCGTGATCCACCCACCTCGGCCTCCCAAAGTGCTGGGATTACAGGCGTGAGCCCCTGTGCCCAGCCTATTGGAAGATTTTTACCGATTTGTAGACGTATAAAATAAGTGATTAGCAAAGGAAATTATGATCTTGAGATTTGTTTCTAAAAATAAAAAGATACTATTTAAAAATAGTGAAAAATATATTTTGCCATGCCTTTTGTGCTGCCAGTGATAGAAGTTCAAAGTTAAGTTACACTAAAACATTTGTGCTGAAAAGCAATGCTTGTACATTTTTACCGCATTTGTATCTTTTTATATTTTATGTCCATCCTCCAATTTTGATCAGAAGATTTCCTCCATGTTATTCTTTCAATAGCAGGCTAACTTTTATTAGGACTTGATCAGAGTATGGGACTCAGCATGGTAGATAGGAGCCAAAAAATCAAAGCATAATTGCATGCCCAGTTTCTGACCACTCTGTCTGAAATAAGTGGAAACATTCAGAGCAGAGACATATTCAAATCCATGACACGGATGGATTTCTTCTTATGTACCTTACACATGAACTTTAAGAAAACTGTATGTTTAGATATTTTTTAAGTCTAGGCAATAGATTTATGTTATTTGTCACTGTAGTCAATATTATTAGAGTAATTGTTTTTATTTGCATAACACCAGTGAAGTTTACTGAAAGGGCCCTTTAAACTAAGAGCCTAACTTTGAGGGAATACATGGAAAATGTCTTGTCTTGCACAATCAACTAACTTGTACACACATATGTTTCTTATGGTCCAGGTCTGGTTTCTTGCTCAACTGTGACCTGACTATTCTCTTTAGAGTATGGCCAAATAATATAGCCAAGAAGTAAATTCAGATTCAATTAACTGTACTCTATATCTGGAATGAGCCAAGCATTGAGTGATACGTTCTCAAGTACACTCTATCCTGTTTCCTGGAAAAATTACTACTGGCAAATGTTTTATTCTCAAAAGTGTTTTGATTTACATGAGAAATGACATGTTAGCTTATCAATTAGGCAAGTGGTGATGGTATTCTTTTCTTCTTCAAAATACCAGTCTAAAGACACTGGTATTTTGTGACTTTAAGTAACTATCCCAAAGACATAGCTACTTAGTGTCAGACCTAGAATTTACCCTAGGTGTTTTGACTTGAAAAGCTTTTTTTTTTCAGTTCATATTTGTTATTTTGTTATTACATATATAATCTGTATGTTTGTCAGTTTTTTAGATTTTATCTGATTTGTCCTGTGCATATTTATTATTAAGGATGTTTATTCTATTTCTCTTTTTATCATTAATTTTCATTTAAAACATTAATAGAAATTGAGATAAAATGAACCACACCAATTGTAAGCCATCTCCAAATGAAAATTATTAAAAATGTTATTACCAGCTGGGTGTTGGACATGTTAAAGAGCTGGGAGCACTGACCAGTTTGACCTTATAGAGAGACATATAAATTTGTCTTGAATTAGCCAGTCTGTGTCAGAGGCTATTTTACTGATACTCTGATCACTGCTTTTGGATTGATCACTCATAATTGAGCCAGATCTCATATATAACAAATTCAATTATGGGAAAAACGATTGTAATTATTTTCCTATTTACTGTCAACTCTGAAAATCATTGTGTGCTTCTAGAAATTGAGATAGTTGTCAAGAATAAGTTTTGTTTATGCTAAGTTGTAATTTTCTTTTTCTGTGTTGGCTAGATTTTTCTAGATATGACATTTGGTTCGGGAGGACACACAAAAGCCATTCTACAGAAGGAGTCAGATATTGTCCTGTATGCCTTGGACAGAGACCCTACTGCTTATGTATTAGCTGAACATCTTTCAGAGTTGTATCCGTAAGTAATACCCTTGTATATTTATTTAATTTTGGTTCTGATTTTACAGAGCTTGATTTGCCACCTTGGAATTTGTTCTGCTTTGCATGGGCTATATTTTACTCCATTAAATATTTTCCCTTTTTTTCCCCAAAAGGAATTAATGTAAATGATGATTTTAGTACCATTTAAAGTAATGCTATTTTCCAATTATCCCTTCTGAATCCATATAAAGAAATACAAAAATGACTTCCACCTACAAGATTGAAAATGGTTGGAATCCATCTACAAATAATATTTTGACAATATCTCATGGCCAAAAAATAATTTTTAAATATTTTTATGAGTTCATTTCTAAGAATTTAGCAAAGTAAATAAGTATGTGAGAATTCTGCAGAACTCATGGGGACATATACATTAATATAATGTAATTGATTCCTTTGAATTTTCTGAAATTCACAAGTAAATCTAGAGTGATCCATTCTTCTATCAAAAAAAGTCAGCTATAACTAAAGAACTTTTTCAAAATATAAAATATTATCTGAATGAGTAGTGAAACCATCTGCCATTAAAGAAACATTTTGAATTAGGGAGTAGAGTTTACCTGATATGTTGTATAAAGGCATCATCCTATAAGAGGAAAACTTCTTGGAGCTAAGATGGCTCTCTTCAAATACGTAAAGGACTGTTTTCAGGAATGGGAAATGGTTTTATTCTGTTCTTTATCAGAGACTGGAATCAAGAAAATAGATGGGAATTTTAGAGGTAATTTTGACTTGATGTGAACTGGAGTTTTCACTAGTTGTAGCTGTTCAACAACAAAATGGTCTCTTTGGTGAAAGTTCCAAAAGTATGACAGTGGAAAACTTTAATCAGTCACTAAGAATAGAACGTTCAATTCGTCATCTAGAATAGTACTTACATCCTTTTTCAGGTCCCAAACTCTCTGCAAATCTAATGAATGTTAGACTCTCCCCCTAAGACTCTCCCCATATAACTCTCCCCATAAAACTGTAAATATATAAACATATGCTTTTATTTGCAAGATCACAGGAGTTGTGGAGCACCTGAAACCTACCCTTTGACCCTAGATTATTTCATTTCTTCCAAGAATAATATGAAGATGTGGTTTAAGGACATGATACTAAATATTAATGTTTTAAATCTTTCTGTCTTCTCCAGTGTAACTTAGATGCACCTTCTTTAAGAAGAAGTTTTATTAGAGCATTCACATTTGTGAAACATTGTGTGAGTTCACTGGATTATGATGTGAACGTTCATAAAGTATAGGCCTCTTTTATACAACAGTTTTTTTTATACAACAGGTACAGTTCCTTTGTACCTGAGGAGAAGTGGATACCAAAATTCATGTTTGCTCAAGTCCCTTATATAAAATGACATAGTATTTGCACATAACCTATACACATCCTCCCATATACTTTAAATCTTCTCTAAGTTACTTACCTAATACAAAGCAAATGCTGTTTAAACAGTTGTTAAACTTTATTGTTTAGGGAATAATGACAAGTAAAAAAAAAGTTTTGTACATGTTCAGTATAGATGCACTTTTTTTTCTGATCTGCAGTAAGTTGAATCAATTGATGTGGAATACACAGATCAGGAGGGCCAGTCATATTTTGCTGTCATAGAAAAATAGAATTTTCCTAAGATATTGTTGTTTCTTAAGGCAATGATTCCTAATTCAGGTGTTTCAATGTCTCTTATTCCTTTAAACACCCCACTTTCTCAAATGGAGCTGAAAGTTTACAAATATTATCATGTGTAATTTTTTTTTTAACTTAACAGGAACTATCAGACTATATATTCTTTTCAATTTATAGATGTGGAAACTATTAGCCAGATAGATGAAGTGATTTTCTAAAAAGCATAAGCGACTTTATTGGAAGAGACCTGGGACATAGATTCTACTCCCTAGTCTCATAATCTCATTGTATTAAATATTACTGCCTTGGCTTAAGTCTTGAGACTTTTTTACTTCATTGACAAAATGATTTCTTTGTCGAACATAATAAATTAGATAAGAACAAGAAAACAAATCGGAGGAAGCCAAGAAGAAGGAATTAATACAGATAAAAGCTAGAATCAAGGAAACTATAAACGAAAAAATAGAAAGGATAAACAATCCCAAGAGATCATTCTTTGAAAATAGCAAAATCGCTTTTGAGCCTGATTACTAGAGCTAAAATGTGTGAATAAGATTGAGAGAGAAGACTAACCATAGACACACGTAAGTTCGTCATAAGATCATACAACTGCAACTCTGGTAACTTATAAAACCTAGATAAAATGATTGATATTAATATCCTAACAAAATATAAAATTTGATTAATATTTATAAAATTTGAATGTCATTACCATAATAGAAATTAGAAGATAACTGAAGTATGTAGAAAAAAAGCTCCCTGACCAGATGGATTTGCAGTTATCTAATTGTGGAAAAAAAAAATGGAAAAAGCAATGCCTATTACACTAATTCTGACCATGGTAAATTTGGAAAGTTATTTCAGTTAATATTATAAATCTAGCATAATTTTAATACCCATCTTTTTTTTTTTTTTTTGGGGAGATAAGCTCTCACTCTATTGCCCAGGCTGGAGTGCAGTGATGCCATCATAGCTCACCGCAGCCTCTATTTCCTGGGCTCAAGTGACCCTTCTGCCTCAGCTTCTCAAGTTGGGACAACAGGTATGCACCTGGTTAATTTTTTTTTTTTTAGTAGAGATAAGGTCTTCCTGTGTTGCTCAGGCTGGTCTTGAACTCCTCAGCTCAAGTAATCATCCTACCTCGACCTCTCAAAGGACTAGGGATTATAGATAGGAGCCACCATGCTTGGCCTAACACCGTATCTTGATAGAGACAGTATAAAATGGAAAAAAGTCTAAGTTTGCTGAAGTATAGAAATACAAAAATTGTAAAGGAAATAGTAATATATCTAATGCACCTGTCATTTAATTAAAACAGTAATAGCTGTGGCCTAATGAAGTTTATTTCATGAAAACAGGACATTCTATGTCAGTTCTTAATCAATGATAGATTGATAAGCATGACAATAATCAGCTAGCTATTCTTATTAAAATTTCTGTTAAATATAAGGAAACTACTTAAATGTAAAATATTTGCAATCAAGGACAAGCAGTAATTATTTTCCTAAAATGTGAATTATTTAAGACAAAATTAGGATGTAAATAGGATTTAACTTCTATAAATATTATTTCTCTACATTTTTTAAAGGTCTGACAAAGGCTAATGAAAGATTAGAATATTATTCTTATAATGATTTACTGAAGAGTTCAAAACTCAAAATACTTAAAAAGTAATAAGATGATAAGACGGTTAGATAAAAATTTAAAACTCTATTCAGAATAGAAGAACTCTAGGGACAAAAAGGAAGTAATCCCTTTCTTTTCCAACATAAGAGTCACTGTTGATACCCCTATAACAAAGAGAGGTTGACAAGAGAAAAGAATAGCAAATTTATTTGATCAACTGACTGAGTTGGGGGAACTCAATAAGGCTCTGTATGCAGCATTCTTTTCTCTTGGGTATCAAGGTAGGACTTCTGTGGAATGAGTGTCCTAATTTTGTTATGGCCATCTACTACAGAAAGAAGTAGGGTAGGTTAGAGTAGTATTTTAGGCTTTGAAGCTGGCTTTGGAGAAAAAAAGTTCTGGTTTCTATGGGGGAGGTTAGAGTAATATTTTGGGCTTTAAAGCTGGCTTTGGAGAAAAGGGGTACTGGTTTCTATGACCCACCTTGGGGAAGAGGGATTCTAGTATCTTGCCTCTGAGGAGAATGAGAGACAGGAGGTAAAGAGGTGGTCAGAAGGTAACTTTGCTTCTAAGGCTGCTTCTTAGTCCTTCATTTGAGGGTATTGTTTTCTGAGCCCCAATAGTACCTAGAAAGGGAAATGGGAAAAAATAGGCTATACACAAAAGCAGCTAAAATTATATAAAATATTTAGTAATAAATTTAACAAAAAGCACACTTCCAAATGAAAGAAAATTATAATCTTTTTGAAGGACACACAAGAAGATTTGAACAAAAGGGAAGACATATTTGTTTCGAGGCAGAGATAATTAATATAAAAAGAGGGTGGAGTGAAGAGGTTCATACCCCATCACTTTGTGAGGCTAAGGCAGGAGGATCTCTTGAGCCCAGGAGTTAGAGATCAGTCCTGGCAACATAGCGAGACACCATTTCTTGCAGGGAAATGGTGGTGTGCACCTGTCGTCCCAGGTACTCAGGAGGCTGTGGTGGTACTAAGGAAGTTGAAATTGCAGTGGGCTGTAGTTAGCCATTGCACTCCAACCTTGGCAGCAGAGCAAGATCCTGTCTCAATTTGGATGGATGGATGGATGGATGGATGGATGGATGGATGGATGGATGCAGGATGGATAGACAGAAAGAATACAAATAAAAAGAGTTAATGCTCCAAAAATTCATGTATACATGTATTGTACATGTATATTGTTTTTAAAGTTTGGATGATGCGATCCTTAGTTTATATGGGGCAAAAAGTGACAAGATGTTTTTTGAATTAAAAAATGAGAGGAGACCTGCCTTACCAGATGTCAGATTACACTATCAAATCATTGTAATGAATCAATAAAACATTGATACAAGAATAGGCAAGTAGATTAATGGAGAAAGGAATCCAAAATTGAGTCTGCTAAACAAAGGAATTTAGTTGAAGATAAAATTATTTTAATTCATTGAGAAAGTGGTAGATTATGAAATAAATGATGCTATTACAGTGCCTGTCAGACTTGAAGAAAATAAAATAAACCCATTTAAAATTTTTGATTTAAAAATTACTTCTAGATGGTACAAAAAATATGTGAAAATTTGAAAATACAACTTCTATGAGAAAATTGGAGAGGCTACATCCACAATCTAGGGGTGAGACACTTCTTAAGACTAGAAATCATAAATCTATAAAATATGATTATATAATTTTTTAAAACATGGCAAGAAGAGTTTGGTAATTTCTAACAGCTAAT